TCCATTACTAAGTCGAAGAGCTGGCATTGTCTGTAGACACCTCCTAGGTCATGTGACCAGCATGACTGCATGGAGCGCCATTACCTTTCTGACGAAGTGGTACCTATTGATCTCACATTTGCATGTTTTTGAACTGCTAGGTTGGCAGAAGTTGGGGCTAACAATGAGAGCTCATCCTGCTCCCCAGATTCAAACCACCAACATTTTGATCAGTAAGTTCGGCAGTTTAGTGGTATAACTGATTGCACCATTGCGATAGCCCTGAATAATCTGTCATTTCACTTTTAAATTGCTTTTAAAATATCCCAGTTTCTTTTTTCTTACTTTCCTTCTTTGCTCTCACCTTACTTCAGTTGCTGCAAAATGAGTTCACAGTATAAAGGTAGTTTGCACTCAGGGTGCTTTGAAGCCTGCTCAAGGGTGTTCATAAAACATGCCCCCTCAATTCACTCTGCAGCATGGATCAAGCCCAAAATAGTGCATTAATATAACTCACTAGGAGGACAAGAATAAGTTAGATAATGTACCACAGCCAACTAGAGTACCAGCAGTCCCTGAGTTATAAACATCAGACTTACACAATTAAATATGGGGAGGGGTGGGGTGAGACAACAGGAAGTAAGAGAAATCTACCCTTGGGGAAATTCACTCCAGGAAGAGTTATCATGGGGAAAAGGTGTCTCCACTGAAGCTTTCTCACCAATCCTTGTTTCCACAGCAAGCCAATTTTTTTTTCAAAACCCAATTATCACAGGGACAGAAAGTGAGGTGAAATCTTTTGAACAGAAACACAGATAGCAAAACAAACACCACAGGGTTTGTATGTGATCCAAAACTTTAAAAGATATATTTTTGGCTGGAGTTACACTTAAAAAATGCACCTGTTCCGACTTACAAATACATTTAATTTAAGAACAAACTTACAGAACTTATCTCGTTCATAACTTGAGGCTCTAATTTCCTCTAATTTACCTTAATAAAATCACAAGGAACACCTAGCTTCTGTCTAATGTTGTGAAGACTCAGTTAAGTTTATTGGGTTTCTTCTCTGTTGCAATATTATACATTCAAGACCTGTTGATGATGGCTACTTGCCAAAGCCTTCTTCACACTTCTCTGCCTTTACAAAACATCAGCTTTGTCTAAACATCTGTCTCTTGAAAAGAACACATAACATATTATGACATCCTGAAACAAAAATCTCAAGAGATATACCTTGCATATTGCCCTGTGTGTCTTTCACATTTGCAAGTGAATTGGGTGGGGATTTGGTATTTCATGATACATGAACAACAAAAGGGGAGTACTAATTGTCCCAAATGTGTTTGTTGCCTCCTTTTTTCAGTTATTACAGTTTTTGGCTGGGCAATAATTTCAGGCAATTATTGCTGCTATATAGTAAAACCCATTGTAGTTCACTGGTGTAAATCTGATGACAATTATTTCCTGATTCCCCTCTCCCCTGCATGTTTGGGATAAGAATATTAGTGTCATGTGGAAAATGGACTGTGTCAAATAAAGTGAATTGCTTCGTGAAAAAATTATTGAAGCTGAAGTTATTTTTTTATATGGGATTAGCTCAGTAGCTATTGTTTTCAAATAATCCTATCCACTGCAGTTCTTGTTTATGTAACAGTAACTCTAATATTGCTTTTTACGTTTCTTTTCATACAGAAAATGAATAGGAGAAAATATTCAGAATCTTATCAAAGTGCAAAGTTGGGAGCATTGAAATGAAACAATTCTTTCATATATATTTACTGAGGAAAGGAGAATATATTAAATTAGAACAATATCAGTGCATCCAACAGAGTGCAGTGCTGTTCTTCAGTATGAAATGCAGAAAGTTCCCCAGACATCTGCATTGTACTGTTTTGAATTGCAGGCCTTAACGTAAGGGAGAGAAACATGCTGCTTTTCTCCAGAATCCCCTTTCAGTCTAAATTCTGTTACAAGATGTGGATGAGTTGATCTAATCCTGTTTGAGTTATTCTGATTTTGCCGGCATAATATTCAATTAAACATTTCAATGGTGCTGCTATACATAAAATAGAAGAGCCACTGTCTACTCTGCAGTTACAATTACTGAATTTTGATTTTAAGGGAGAAAGTTCCTTAAAAAAACTTTTTTTGTGATTTATGTATAAGAGTTTAGATTTATAATATACATATGAGAGAAGAGTTGTCTTGCAATACATAGGTCTTTAAAGGCAGACACATATTTATGTTTAGAACTGTATGATATGATTTGCAGATTTTATTTCTAATTATTTTATACATTCAAGTAAAATAACTGACACATACTGTTTGTTTAGTATTTTGCTTTTGACATGAGCTAGCAGTTCAACTATATGTATTATTCTCTAGTAATCTGAGTTCACTCCTACCTATGCCATTCCATCTCTTTGGCGGTATAAAGAAAATTGGTTATGCCTGCTGTTGAAAGACCTTTATCAACATTATCTTCTTCGTATAATTTACTCTGACATAATCCCTTCAGATTTTGTTTTAACAAAACTTAGAATCTCAATTTTGGTCTATAATATCAGTCAGTATTAACATTTTAGCATATACTGTAACAACAATACACAGTTCTATGTATTCTAGTGTCTTTAAATGTGAAACTCATATTGCGTTGCACCTTCAGGAAAAGGTTAGACATAAATAAAGTCAATAGTACTAATAACTAATACCTAGTTTACAGCAAGTTTCTTTTTCTTTTTTGGTGCGTTAGCTGCTTATATCCTTGAATGATCTTCTGTAAATGTGGTCATATCTGTGGGCTTCATCTTAATTCTGTGATAGTGCTTGTGCGATTAGTGTTGTTTTTTATCAGCTTGGTTGATCAAGTCAACACTATGTCATTTGAAGGAGTCCAAGATATACATGGCTACATTAGGTGATTCCAATGGCTTCTACAAACAAAAGCAAAAGCAGTTCAGCAAAGTAATACAATAAGCTGAATGTACACAAAAATGAAAAATATGTTCTGTTTCAATTTACTGCATAAGTAAAATGGTAATACAGGTTGAGTATACCTTATCCAAAGTGCCTGGGACCAGAAGTATATTGCATAGGATTTCAAATTTTTCATATTTTGTGTTTTGACTCAGGTCAAAACACAAAAATCATTTATTTTTAATATACCTCATATACACATAGTCTGAAGGCTATTTTTGACAATATTTTTAATAGCTGTTTGCATAAAACAAAGCTTGTGTGCACTGAACCACCAGATGTGTCACTATATCAGCCACCCATGTGGAAAAATATGGATCTTTTTAATATTTTGGATTTTGAAATTCTGGATCAGGAAGGCTCATTCTGTGATTACATCACAATAAGGGCTGCCCATTTTTCAGCTAGGAAAATGCATAGGTCATAACAGACAAAATTGTGTTTCAGAGGGGAAGTTACTGATATATTTAATCCAATGGAACTACCAGCAGTGTTCATTTTTGGATAGATTTACTTCCAAAAGAAACTAATGGGTTTTCTTTTTATATAAAAACTAGCATATACCAATAATGAATGTATATACTAAGCATTGCCCAGGTGTTGTTGGAACTGCTGCCTACCTACTTTTTCCCTTCTCCAGCTTTGAAAGGTGTCATGTGTATAAGAGGAAGGGAGGAAAGGGCCACAAAAAGAGTCTGCTTACAATTTCCAGAATGTTGCAATGGACACATTGTTAAGTAGGCCTTTCTCAGAGCTAGAGAAAGGAGAAAGTAAATGGGCAGCTGTCCCATCGACACCCAGGCAACACCGGGTGTATGCATTAGTTATTTATATATAATTTTTCAGTCATTGAATACCAGTTGACTTCGAATAGGAAACTTGAACACATTCAGTTCAATATTGTTATGATTAACTCTTTGCAGCTGAATATTTCATAAAATACAGTTAACAACAAGATTGTAATGGGCACAACATTTATTAATGAAGCAGTAGGCATCCACTATATTATGTAAGGTTGTGCGTGCTATTTTTTCACAACAAATAGGGAAAATGAATACACATTTCAAGTATTTTGCTTTGGTGCAAAAGAATAAACAAAAGTGAATTTTATTCAATAAAACTTTTTTCTTATACATCAAATTGGTAGTCAACCGGTATTCTGATTTTGTATAGATGCTATTCTATGAGTCAATCAGAATGCAAAATAATTGATAGATTGTATAGATATTTCTTAAGGAGGCAATCAAAGCCTGTCTTGTTAGACTGTAAAAAAGGCTAAGTCAACATTGGCATGATAATAAAGATTATAGTTGCGGATGTACAACATTTAAAAAAATATTTTGAAGACAAGATTTCTTCATAATTTAGAGATCTTAAAGCATCATTAGCCAGAATGGCAAGGTACAGATCTCTATGTTTCTGATGAAGGGAAGTTAAAATGTGAGAAAACACATTTTCTCTGCATTTCATGACAGATTTTATTATTTATGAAGATTCAAAACAGTCATATTTCAGCAACAATGTAATCCCAATAACAATACATTCATATGCCGTCTGCAAGTGCAGAAATCACTTTACATATATTATATTGTTTTTAATTCTTACAACAATTTTGTGAGGTAAGTTAGAAGTAGTGTTCTGAATGTTGGGTGAGAGAACTGAATTGAGAGAAAGTGTATGACCTAAAACCAATTGGTAAGATTGCTATTTGAAATTTCTTAATTCATATTTCATTCTCTTAGCCAGTATGCTACAACTGCATTTGTATATTAGAGGTGTCTCTTTAGATTATATCTACGGCATATGTGAATATGTGTATGAAAATACCGGGGGAAAAAATATGGTTCAGCTGCAATTTAATCTCTAGCATTCATTTTTCACTGTAACAATCTCCATTTCCACTTTTTGTTGAAACAAAATACATTTTAGTTAATGGGACCTCTCCTCAATATGTGTCATTTGTGAACACTGCCATGAAAGTGTTGCTGATGCTAGTTTTTTTAACATTCTGTTACTCTTTCTTTTCTATTTTTTTTTCATAGTCTCGACCCATTCCATCACATCTTACTTCAGCAGTAGCGGAGAGTATTCTAGCTTCAGCCTGCGAAAGTGAAAGCAGAAATGCTGCAAAGCGGATGCGAATGGATCGTCAGCAGGTACGGTGGTGGACAAAGGAAATGGGTGAAATCTAGGAGATTGAGCAATAAACATGGATCAATAAAATTTGTTGTATTATAGTTATTTATTGATTTTATTTACAGTATTTATATTGGGGACTCAGAGCAGATCACAGAACACATACATGGCAAACATTCAATGCTCTTATACACTGACAAGACATACAACTGTACATAGATAGAGGTATATATAGGCTTTCCCTTCTTTGGCATTTTGGAGGCTGTGCTCAGTTCTGGCCACTGGGGGGGGGGAGGGTGCTGTCTGTCTTCTCTGCCAAAGAGCTTTGTTCATAAACTTCCTCCTTGATGGAATCGCAGGCATTTTCTGGCATATCCTTATGAGTGGCTTAAAAACCTCCCTGCTTTAAGGTAGTACTTATTTAACTACTCACATTTGTTTCAAACTGCTACATAGGCAGAAGCTGGGCCAAAGGCCAGGAGCTCGGTCCAACATGGGCTTTGAACTGACAACCTTTTGATTGTCAAGATTTGCTGCAGCTGGCGGTTAATCTGCTGTGCTAAAGCTCAGAGAGATAAATAACTCTCATTTGATTCTATTAAATATTCCATATTTATGTATAAGTTGTATGCTACATCTTCATCCCTTCTTTTCACTGGGTAGGTCTTAGGAGTATATAGTCCTTTTACTTGATGGCCTCTTTTTATGTTCTTAAGTAATTTAGTATAGGAAAATACTCCATCTATCCACATAAGGTATTCCATGACTTCAATTTATGCTGGATATTTAAAAATGATGATTCTTATAGAGGTCAAAGCATATTGAGTTCCTCTGGTTCATTATCCTAAAGGGTTAATATGTTTTTATTCAGGCAGCAGATAATGATCCTTGAACACTTAATGTTAATGGGGTTTAATGAACCAAATCAAGAGCCAAACAGCATCTAGTCTCTGTTTAGAAATATTTTTTAATCACTACTGATTACATCAACTCTATAACCTTATACAAATTGAAGGAAATTCTTGGTCACTATGATATGCCAAAGCACTACTTTGTAATTTGAGTTTTCAAGTTTATTGCTCATAAAATTTAAACAGAGTCAAGTCCAGAAGAATTAAAGCTAATGAAAAACAATATTATGTCAAGATAGTTCTTTTACTAGTTTATATGCAACAACAGCAATATTAAAACACACATCCCAAAACATATTCGATCAGAATTAGAATATCAAATGGAATGCTTCACACCCAATTTAATCATGTACAACCTGTAACAATTAACATTGAATAGACCTGGATGGGGATGCATATTCCATCACATCAATATTGCATATCAAAATATCAAGTTTTGTATCTCTCCATTCTATTTCATCAGGTTGCCAAAAGACAATTTCTCTTTGGCAAAGTGACCAGATTTTTGTAACATGATTCAGAACTATTAGAATTAGAATATCAAACCATTTGAATTTTAGGAAAATGACCCATATTGACACAGAACTAGTAGGAAGAAAATAACTCCTCCAATGTGTGGAAAAGTATATCATGTATTTTGACACCTGCTTAGGTCTTTATTAAAGATGATCAAGAATCAAATCTTTCCTTGAGTTGCTGAAGTTTTCTCAGTAGCTCAAGGATTATTAAGATTCTCATGTTTCATTAAAACCTATAGCAGTGACTGCTTGCAAAATTATGTCAAACGTGTTTTGTTATTCTGAAGTTTAAATGTTGCCGGTACTCGAAAAGAAGGATTTGTCTCTTCTATTACATCACTAGAAATCAACAAATGGTTTTATCTACCATATGTGTGTAGTTTTTGCAATATTTTTGATCAAGTAGCTACTTGAGAAAAGGTACAACTATTAACTACTATTTTCTTCTTCTTCTAAAAAAAGGAAACATTCATTTTGGGAAGAATTGGAAAAAAGTCAGGATAGCTGCCCCTTCTAGTGGTATCAAGTTTCAGATTGTGCAAAAGTAGCCTTTAGAATAATAACCATCATAATGGACACCAATAATTCAAAACTATCAAATCATGTGTACCCCACAACCCCATTAAAACCTTTCCATACAACCTATTAATTAGCAAATGCTCTTTAGTTCCTGGAGAAAGGAGAGCCTGGGAACTGCTACTAAGAAGGGCCTCTCACATGTTTCACCAGAGAAGACATCTGAGCGTTCATTGAGAGCTGTACAAAATTTGAGGATATGTGGAGTATTTTTTGTGGAAATTAGGTGGCTGAAGACAAGGAGAGATGACTCCATGTTATCTTAACCTCTATTGTTATTTGGCAGTTAAAATGCCATACTTTATAGAGATGCCACTAGGCAGGAAATGTAAAATTTCTGAATTATTAATTCAAGGGTAGGAGACTATGGTGAATGAAAAATAGTTTCATGATCCAGCTGCCCACACTGTCAAAACATGGAGATTATTCTCAAGCTTTCTAGATGGTCCAAAGTAAATCCAGCTTTCCCTTCTGCCAGCATCTACTGCAATCCAGCCATACATCACATAGACTACCCACAGGGGTTGCAAGGTGAATTCACATTATTTGGCCCATGTAGACAGGGCCCAAAACAAACTATAAAGCCCATCAGCGTCTCTCCCATTCAATTATTGAGACTCCAAATCAAATCTTATACCCTTATATGTTCCCTACAGAAAGTCAATTTATTCTTAGTAAGGAAGAAATAAAATATCCATAAATGACCACTTCTGTTACAAAAAAAACCAACAACCTTAAGTCTCCCTTCTTCCCATCAACATTCTTGTCCTTTCCCTGAGTTAGATAGTCATTTTAAAGCCAGTATAAGCTTTTTTTCTGCACTTTCTTTAACCTGTATTGAAAGTTGTGTAAGAGAAAGTCTGATAAATAACAAGCTGTTTCTTGCTTCGAAGAGAAAAATAGAGCTGTTATTTGATATTACCCAGTAAACCATTGTTTTTGCAGGATGAAACTGCTCCAGCTGAAAAATCATTTAAACAAGAACCCACCCAGGTCACTTACTCAACATCAGCTGTTTCCAGCACACAGGAGGTGTTGTACATAAATGGAAACGGGACCTACAGTTACCATAGTTACAGAGGGTTAGGAGGAGGTTTGCTAAATCTCAGTGATGCTTCTACCAGTGGTGAGTATTTTTTACTGTCTTTTGCATGTATATTTGCATGGCTAAGTCCCCACTATATTCTGGAAATACTTAGGATGAAAATGCATATTTTGTTATAGAAAAAAATAGTCAATATATGCAGTATATGTGGGCTTAAATTAAGTACTTTGATACTTAATAGAATAGATGGACACAATTTCTTGATTTAGGTGCATTTTAACAAGCAGGTTTATCTACAATAAAGCAATGCAACCTATCACTGCATAACACTATTAGAGTAAACAAGTAAAATAATGTTAAAATCTTTGTATGCCTAAAAAAACTTTCATTCATGCCAAAATGAAAGCAAACTTGCATTCATTCTGGAAGATAATTAGATTAGTGTTTTCTGAACTTCCTAACAAAGAAAGGCTATGGCCTTTGCTAGCTGTGACTAAGGATATTTATGTAAGATATATTCAAACATAAGGGATTACTGGTCTTTCATCTTTGATAATTGATCCTGAACTACTGAAATAAATATGGTCTCAGGTCCAGAAAATATAAAATCACATTGAAAGAAAGATTGCATGCCTGTCTTAAAATTGGGAAATTTTTCCAGTTGATATGCAGATGAAATAAAATAGGTTTTCTGTGGGGTACAAAACAGGCTTGGCAATTTTTGTGTGTCGGTTAATTAGAGCCAACTCATTATGAACATTTTGCCCTTTATTTATATTCTTCCAAGGCTCCTGGCCATGTACTATCTCATGTCAGAGAAGACTTGATGTGTCTCTTTTGCACAAAAAGACTGTAGTCTAATTATATTATATACTAAACACACAGTTAATATTAGATTACAAAGCTGAGAGTCTTGCACAAGGAGGTGGGGAGAAAGGGAAGAAAAGTATGCACGTGTGTTTGTGGTAAATGTATACATTGATATTGTTCAGGAACTCCCCAAAATTCTGAGTGAATCCACAAGTTTCTGTACATTTAAACTCCAATGGGAAAGTTGTTGATATAGAAGAACATTATTTTGTTGCCGGGTGATTGTATACAATAATGAATAATTTCAGTAGTCTTCCCCATGCTATGGGAGAAAATGAATGTTCCTTTGCAGTATTCTTCTTGTAATCAGGAATCCCAGAGTGATGAGAATGAGTTATTATGGATAGAAAAACACATTTTGAGTGCAGAATTTTGTATAGAAAAATAAGTTTTCTGTTCACAAAACAGTGAAGATTTTGTGCGTAAACTATGTAAGTGTCCTCCACAACACTTTGGGATAAAATTTGAGAGAAAATTGGCATGATTCTGAGTAGTGTCTCTCTGAACAATTAGGAAAATGTTTTTTTTTAAAACAAAAACAAACCTTGGAACAAATATGAGCAAATTCCTCTCTATTTCAAAAACTGTTCTTTGCAATATATATTTTCAAGGCAGACAAGTATTAAAGACCCTGCACTTGTTGATCCAATTTGATTGTTCTTTAGAGAGAGAAGGGGTTTACATTGTTAATTGCACCAATAATGTTTTCCATGCTTATGTCTATGTTTGATGTTTTATATTTTTAATGGTTTTAATCTGCAGTTATATGTTATTGATATGTGATATTCTTATATATTTGAGGCATTGAATTTGCCATTTATTATGTTGTAAACCACTTTGAGTTTGCCCCCCTCCCCAGGGTTGCGAAAAGTATAATAGAAATGCAGATAATAACTACTACTATTACTACTACTACATAGATCCTTGCTTGTGTTAGTTACTAGAAACAAACATGGTTTTAAGTCTCATCATAGCTGTCTAGGCATCTATCTACATTTTCTATTATTCAAGGTATATATTACTATTATTAATTCTATAGAAAATAGACTGCAATCATCTTAAAGGTTATGTTTGAATTTGCTAGAGCTTGTTGTCTCCAGCAGAGAATTAAGTCTCCAACAGGCTGTCCTATACTAGCAACTGAAGTGGGTTACTGCAGAGATAATTCACATATGGCTCTGCTTCTCATGAGCCATCAGTGCTTTTATCAGTCAAATAAGCAGCTGTATCAAATATCTGGCCAGCATTTTAAAATTCTAAGTAATTGATGCTGCCAATGAGTAATTTATGAAGCAATAACTACCTCATGTTAAATCTTGCAAGTCATTTATCCAGCAATGTATTAATGTCAGATTTACTCAGCAGCTAATATGATAAATGAATGTCTACTTCTGGGAGAGGATTCACAGTGCTTGTAGCATTTTCAAGGATTTAGTTAAACAAGAATTGCTTACCTTCCAAAAATATGTGATGCCTATGAAAACTTAAATGATTCTATAAACCATAGACAATAACTAGATACAATATAAAAGACTGAATGTATCACCCTGATGATGGCTAGAGAAATAATATCCTGAGCATGCTGGAAGTGATGTGACAGAGAAATTCTTTGAACACATACACACATATATGGTTTAATTTGCTGCTCTAGAAGCAACTGAAAATCTTTATGTGTGTGACACAGAAAATGCTGGCCCACAAAAGCATGAACAAACTATGGTAGCTAGTGACTTTTGGACCTCTGGGAAGTAGAGTGCAATGTATTTTTGTAGCATATGCTCCCAACTGCACCAAGCAAAATTGCCTAAGTGTGTATGTGCCTTCAAGTGGCCTATGATGACACCCTAAATTTCAGGATTAGAAGATCCAAGAGGCTACATTGAAGATACAAAGGAGCTGAACAATTTCCAAGGCAACTCAGAAATGGATTGCTAGAGTAAATCAGTCCCCTTGCAACAACCTCATAGGCACCACTGATACAATCTCAT